TCGTCGCCGCAGACACAGACACGCACTGATGAATGGAAAGCTATGGTCAGCCCGTAGTTCGCCATGGCGTACCGGATCAGACTGGGGAACTATAGTACGGTATAGACTATACCTGTGGTCATGCTGACTGATTCATGCGAAAGCGGGAGCGGAAGCGGAAGCGAATGCGGAAGAGCCCTCCCCTGTTACCTAGGCTACCGTTACTAGGTGTACTCTTATCAGCATAGTCCCCGGCAGGGTCCAAGCAGCCGATGATAGGTGGGATGGGAGGACAGCAGCAGCGAGGCTGGGTGGTCGGCGAAGGTAAGCAGGTAATCTGAGAGCGCCCCCTCCGAAGACAGCTGGGAGTTGTATGTCGAGGGGGTGTTCTGAGCGAGCGATGCTATTGACACCAAGAAGATGCAAATGTTGAGTGTCAGAGTGTGATGTGTGGTGTTGTGATGTGGGATGTTGCCTCGTGGTTGTTCGCATTATTCCGATATGAGCTTTAGCTCCGTCATCAGCCCCGTAACTATGTGGATATGCAGGCTCATACAGACATACAGCAATATCTGCATTGGTCGATTGGTGTACTTCGTATGGGGCTGTTGCCTGTTGGTAACGTCACCGTCCCCAGTACCTACCTATGTATGTAGGTACGAATGAACACCTCGAAGAGCAGATATAACAATTGTTCTGAGAACCGATTCCATAGACCAACCCCATTGACTTGCCAACTTGCGTGTGACATTCGCCATGTTTGGCCCATCTCGCACTACCTATCTGGGATGCCCTGTTCCTGAGGAGGTCCCATTTAAATATATATAAACTATGTCCCTAACCTTTGGAAGCTGCCCAGGTCCATCTGGCAGTCCGCTTCTCTCCAAGGTTGCAGGTTTTCGGGTGACGGGCAGCATGACCAGCGCACCCGATGCGATGCGATGCGATGCACATATTCAAGAACGACAGGAACTAACTACCCCACATCATGGGCTGATCTTACCAGCTTACCTACTACTACTGCTTAGTGCAAGATCCCTGCTCCCTGCTACCTGCCCACCCAACTAGCTGGTCCCCCGCAAACCTTCAGCTCCAGCTCTACCCTTATGCTACCTTATTACAGTAGTCAACCCTTACGAACTACGAACTACGAACTACGAACTACGAACCACCCATTTCATTCGTCTGCGGAAGAGATGGGGAGGAGCTGCAAAACACCAAGATATCCAAATGCCGAATTGCCATCATCAATCGTCGTGTTTTATTGACATGCCCGTGTCGGTAGCTTCACCAGTTCAATTATTACGGCTTCTCACGAGTATCAATTGGCTCAACCCATCTTGATAGAATAACACATAACATAACGTATAGCGTATACCGCACCACATATCCAAATACCTATCCAAATATCCAAATATCCAAATATACTGGTCATTCTTCCACCATCCGAGTCGCGCAAACTCCAACGTCGTCTTCAGCCTTACTTGGCGCTGGATCCTGATGCAACCTCTAATAACGCTGTGACGACCGATCCCTGCAAGCCATTGCACGTCAGTCGAGAAACAACGCTCCCACAACTCATTATCTGATTAGTCGTCAACATGTTGTAAGCCAACCAACGCTCCCTTAACACCAGCATATGGTGCCCTCCATAGTTATACGATAGTCCTGCTGTTCTCCCACCACCGTCGCCCCTTAGACATGATTCCGCTAATCGTTCCACGCCCTTGCTGCCTTTTATAGCGTGCTTCCCCCGCCACCGCGATACCCGACCCAAGCGGCGTATAACGCTGCCGTCGCTGCCGGCCATGCCACTCCCATGATCGAGACGAACAATATCTTGTCCCACCCGGAGGCTCAGTTCCTAGCTGGAGAGGGCACCTACGTGTTGAAGGAAGATCTATTGCTCGCGACACCCCCGCCTCACCCCTCAGAAGCTCCCGTCATCAACCCGAACCCTCTGGCTACCACCCCTCAGCCCGAGACTTCTGGGACCAAGCTCTCCCTCCTCCGTCTAGACGTGCGAATCCCACCGCCTGTCTTCAACACCCTTACGCCGGCGACCACACTGTCACCCAGTATAGCAGAACATCCCAGCGAGGGGCGATACTCCAACGACGCGAAATTCAGCAGTGATGGCTCGGCTCGAGGTGCCTCTATCAGTGATGCTAGTCCATCCTCTGGTCCACCAACGTCCACGACTGCCGTGTCTGCCCCGCCCGCCCCTGCTTTCGGCGATGGCAACCCAGTACTTGCGCCCGAAAAGACCAAAGATCCTAACAAACGGAAAAAACCTAAGAACAACATGACTAAGAGTAACTCCTCGTTTATATCTAGGGTCATTGTCAACGAGACCATCTCCAAGAAGCTTGCGGAACGCTCGAACGACGGCTTGTTCGCCTTTGCGAATATAAACCGCGCCTTCCAGTGGCTTGACCTGTCTTCCTCTAATAAGGCCGAATATCTGACTAAGATCCTCTTTACCAAGGCACACTGTTTATGCCACGATGTCAACCTCGTCACTAAGAGCATCAATCATATTGACATAATAATGGGCTTTTCTACCGGCGAGATCATTTGGTGGGAGCCAATGTCTCAGCGGTACGCGAGGCTAAACAAGAATGTAGGGACTTCTTCCATGCTCCTTGCATTGTTTTGCTAACAAGTAGCAGGGTGTAATCAGCAAGACACCAGTCTCTCAGATAAGATGGATTCCAGGCTCTGAAAATCTGTTTATGGCGTCGCATATGGATGGGACCCTGGTGGTTTACGATAAGGAAAAGGAAGATGCCATATTCAACGCCGATGAAGAAGAACCTAGTGCGAATGCCGAGAGTCGGGGCAAACTCTTCAAGGAATTTCACGTGGTAAAATCGGTCCAATCCAGGAACCAGAAGCACAACCCTGTGTCGATCTGGAAGCTTTCGAACCAGCGCATCAATTCTTTCGACTTTTCCCCTGACAATCGCCACCTAGCCGTGGTCTCGGAAGATGGCACATTCCGGGTCATCGACTATCTCAAAGAAGAGTAAGTGTTCCCTGGATGGGTAGATATGATCTCGCTAATAGATATTTAGGCTCCTTGGCCTCTATTTCTCATATTATGGTGGATTGACGTGTGTTTGCTGGTCGCCAGACGGAAAATATGTCTTAACTGGAGGACAAGACGATCTGATATCTATTTGGTGCCCATCCGAGTCGGCGCTTATAGCACGATGCCAGGGACATCAGTCGTGGGTCACGTCGGTTGCTTTTGACCCCTGGAGATGCGACGAGAAGAATTACCGTTTCGGTAGTGTGGGTGAAGACTGTCGACTGTGCTTATGGGATTTCAACGTCGGCATGGTTCACACACCCAAGGCGGTATGTAGTATCTAGTACTGAGTCGCCTTGAAATCACCCTGCTAACACTCGACCAAGGCGCCAGGTCGACTTAGAGGGTTGGTTTCGGCCAAGGCAGACGCCTCACAACGCTCCGAGACCCAGGCAACGTCATCGAGTAGGATGCGGTCTGGCTCACAGGTCTCGACCAACGAAACCAAAGAGGACAACGCGATCATACACTTAGTCCAGTCGCGAATGAAGACGGCTTTTTTGCCGCCTGTTATGACCAAGTTGGCGGATAAGGACCCGCTGACTTGGATTGGGTTCACACATGACTCTATCCTTACTAGCGGCATGAAAGGTGAGATCGGTCTTCGCATCCCCCTTTATTGATAACCAAACTAAATTGTATTGCCCAGGTCGTATTCGAACATGGACTCGGCCGTCAGATTCTACGACTCAGGCTTAGACCGCCCACATAGTATGCGAGCTTCCAGTTGCTTTATATCACCCAGCATGGGGCCGTTATAAGCGGCCGATGCCAGAAATCAGCGTTGGTGTTATTTGGCGAGCCTTCTTGTATATTATACGTTATCGTGGGCACTTGTCACGATTGGTTTGCGAAATATTTACACTTAATAGGCAGCAGATGCTGTACGCCTGTTTTCCACCTCCGGGTATATACTCCTTACATATGGAAGCAGTAATCAATGGTCTGGAAATATGTTGATGTTTCTCGGCGTACTGCTTATCTATACAGTTTGACAGTTTGACTGTGAGCTGCAGATCACTTAGTAGCCCTGCTGACCGCATCTGCAGGGATGCGGCAGCCAACTACTAGGTAACTAGGATACCGTACACATATCTCAGCTCCAATCTCAGCTGATAAAGGGTCTTCCATCGCGGCCGCCTACATAGCAGCCCGGTGACTCCAGTGCAACTGAGACGTGATCTCACTGTACTTTGTCTCCCTCCTCTCTTGCCTTACATATGAATCTAGTGTCTTGTACCCCGCACCTCCGCTCATACCACAGTGAACAGAGGGATCCCCATAGCGAAGCCTATGTATTGTACTTGTGTCTACCCTACCCCTTAAATATGCCCAGATATGAGCTACAAGAGCATTTGCCTTGATATATCTCGAGACTTATAATCATACGTGAAATTACATTATATCAAATCAACGTCCGTATAGTTACACTTGCCCATGTTGACATCAATCAGTGTTGTCTAGCTACGAGCAGAGATCTCAGGGAAATGATACCCCAAGGCTTGATGATGTCGTAGGTACATGGTCTCATATTATGGCGACTATGTGAGAGAGGATTCGAGAATTATCTCCATCACACGACGAAAGATAGGAACTAGCATGCTTGCTTGGTTTTGGTAATAGCCACACCAATATCGTGAACATGACTATAGGCCGCACTGCGACCTTTCACTCGATTGGAGGTTGGGAGGGATTTCAGGTTAGATGCTGTTGTAAGGAGCCGCTGGAGCCCCTGGAGCCCCTGGAGCCTTACCTACGGTATACTGCCAAGGCCCGCGATAGGGGCTAATCAACATGTCACTAAGCATGTCAAATAGGCCACCATGCATTCGATTCCCTTCTCCAAATGAAAGTAAAAAGGGAGTGTGTCGACAAGTATTTATTTGCAAAAGGAAAGCCAAATAAACCATCTGCAAAAAATATAGTTTGGACACTGAGGGATTTGAACCCCCGGCCTTTCACATAGTGCATTCTAAAGTATGCAAAGCGAAAATCATACCCCTAGACCAAGCGCCCAATTTTTAGAATCTGACCGAGCGAAGCCCGAATTCTAACATGGATTGTTTTTGCATATTGTAGTATAATAGTAGTATGATATTGCGTGCGGTCTCTTCACCAATTGACCCTCCTAAGTTGTCACTATATAATGTGCTAGTGTGCTAGTGTGGCTAAAAGCCTAAGAGTCTTAGGTTAAGACTCAGCAAGACTCAGCATAGAAAAAATCGCATATCTATTCTAATCAAAAGTATTTATGGTTATAGCAATACTACGTTATGAACCGCTTACAGCCTGTTGCTTGGCACATTCAGAACATACATCCAATCCAATGTATCTATATATCTCCAGGTGCCTAGATAGCTTTTGGTAGTTGTAGGATAGTTCCGCCACAAGATCTCGCGACATACGGGGCTTATGTAACCGTGGGTAGTTGGTTAGGTCCCTACCTAGGTACATAACGTACCTGTCTGTCACCTTTTATTCTATCTTCAATTTTTAATTACCTTATCACATGACAAGCTTGATACCCTTTGAACAGTTTCTAAAATAAAATTTTACTAATGAATCATCACCGAGCGCTTTCCTCCACTGCAAGTGCGACTATTTACTAATAAAGTCTCCTAAAAAAGCTTGGTAGTGGTTAGTTTAAAGTTGACTGCTAGGTAGGTACGCAGATCCGGGTGCTATCCATAGCTCTCCCGTTGCACTAGAGACGTCACAACCCAGTGCTCGTAACGATGTCGAGACGATGAACATGAATATGAATATGCTATGGTATTAGTTCCAATGATCTCGGGTCTTTGTCTAGCCTGTTGATTTTCGGACGGTGGTACGTCCCAGAGACGCCCGAGCAGATGTATTCGAGAAGCTGACATGGGTTCACTGCCTTAATGGACTAACTACACCTGTCGCATACATACATACCTGGTACTTGAGTAGGCATAGTTATGGAGTTTACGCTTTGTTGTAGCCAAGGCCATTCCGAAGACTACCTCAGCAATTAAAGATCCATTTCTAAAGGAGAAATGAAACAGTGCACAACTGACTTTGAAACTCGGTAGATGTCGTATTAGCATGCCAGTCTAAATAAAAGACCCGAAGCAGAAGATGCGATCCGGCCTATTTACGAAACTGGCCGCCTCCATCGAACGCTCTCTTATATGTAGTACTTTGTAGGTAGTACGTGGCTATCGGGATCTGAGCATTGGCAGGAACGATCTGGACTCAAGGCACGGAAGCATCTCGGTGTGGGTCTTTATAGTCCCGCCGACCAACGCTGTTTCGACCTGAAAAAAGCCCTGTCGATCAACTGTAGGTGCTCGCCCGTACAGTGGATTGCTCGAAGATAGCGCCGGCAATACTCGGCGCGGCAACTTTACTACGCGTTGTGGTATTCGTAGTAGGTACGTAGTACATAACAAGATCCTGCCTGCCCTTTGACATCCGTCGTTGAAACAGGTGGGTATCAGTAACAAAGGACGTGGACGGGTTGAAGCCTAGTTGATGAAACGCGTTCGATGTAACTATCACTTGCATATAGGATGTCTCTCCTAGCGCCCGAAGATGCCACGATGCTACGATGGCACGCACATACTTAGGTATGTAGGTAACTTGACGCCGCTAGGACGAAGAACGCCAAAGCAATGGTACCATCTCACTGCATGAGTGTTGTGTATGCGGTTGTATGCACCTTGGAAGAGCCTCACAGGGGCCACTCGCATGATTCGGCCCTTCCAGCAGCATGAGCTCCTCTCCCGGCGGTTTGATCATAGATAATAAGCTGGGCTCCGTGACTCCCTGGGCCAACTTCCAGTAACCTGCTACCGTTTCAGCAAAGACTCGGAATCGTAGACCCCCACCCAGACGCCTGGGTTGGTTGCAAAGACAATCATGGGATGGAGCCGATCCACTTCGTTATCAAGGCCCACATTGTAGCAGCAGACAAGTTTTTTGGTCGCAGGGCTGGGCTAGGCTGGGCTAGCTAGTCTAGCTCTTCGAAATTCGCGATTTTTCTTTTCTGTCCTTTTCCAAGCGTGGTTCGCGGAGGATTCATCGGACAGACACGCTGACATGCCGGGAAAACCCGCACAGCATGTACACCGCCGTAACCCTCATCATAGTCCTTGACAGTGCTGGACCTCCAGGTAACGAATGTAACAAACCGTTATTAAGGGGCAGAAGAACAAATTCGGTGCCATCGTAGCACGGTATATGGCGCGAGTCTCGGTGGGTTCAAGCTGTGCGGCACGCCTGTATGTCGCCCGATGTTCTGGGTTACCCTCTGAGTAAGCCCCCTATCAACAAGGTATACGATATATTCTCTGCGGCCGATACGCCGCTCGGTACCTGCCACTCATTAGTCTAACGCAGCGCCACCAGCATCTAGTTAGTTCACTATATGGATTCCATGTACGCGTTGTCCAGTAAGGCTGTGCTCAAGACGGAAAAATTGCAAGATCGAAGCCTGTCAAACGGCAACGTGCAGGATGAAACTTAGCTTAGAGCCATGCAAAGAGCAGGCGGCTCAACCGATATGAGGCCTTTCATTGGGTACAGGCGGCACACCAGAGGGGTGATGGGATGATTAATTAGCGCGGGGCTCATGGCATTCGGGCCATGTGGGTACGAAGGTAAACTCTGGCGCTCGAATAAGAGCGCCGATGCTCGGCCGCGGTTTGACGATATTGCAGTACCGATGGAAAGGGGCCCATCCGATATCTTTAGGTCTGCAGGCGAAGCTTCGAGGGTGAGAATGGAACCCGCTGTAAGATGACACAGCATAAGCAATTACTTATCTGACCACGTAAGCTGAGCGACGGTCTGACGGAATCCTAGAGCTTCAAAGTACCACGTGGGGAATTCAGAAAGAGCATGAGAAAAACAACACTCGGTGTCGTAGATAATGCGATGCAACTGCACCAAAATGCATATGAGGGTGTATCTCATATTTGATTCTGTTTCATGTGTTGGTGTGGACGGCACCTGTAAATTGCGGGCGTCTTTGACTAATAACGTGGTATTCGATCATGCTTTCCATTATTCTTTTGGTGGGGAATCAGGGAGCTCAGCTCCCTAGATGATAAAATTTAATGATAAAATTCAACGGCTATCATTCCGCCGTCGGAGTGCCCAGCGCAGGCTGTGGGTGCTGTTACCTACACATATTTATAACTACAGAGAAAACTTGGTGAGGGCGAGTGTTAAAAGCGCTGAACAGACACCTTCGAAATAATTACATGATCTACGGGTGGCACATACAAAAACAGCCAATGCGCAGGTAAACACTGAACCGCCGAATATGGACGTACGCTCGGCATGTACTTCGTACCTTTGTTGCCATTTTGGTCAATGTTGCTTATATCGTCGATGTGATATAGGGTGGTCTTGCATGTGCCTGCATGCGATCGGGGACCTCCAATCTATCGAGATATTGTATCGCAAGATTCATGAATGATCCCATCAGGCATGATAACCGTACGATGTGCCTTGAAGTCCTGACCACCACCGCCATTACATGTCTACCTAGGTAGGTACAGGGCTACACCTATATACCAAAACGAAACTGACTATATAATGCATTGCGATATTCAACTTTCATGTGTCAAGGAAGCGGCCGTTGACAACCGATCTTGTGCTACGTTATATGTCCTTACGGGCAGATGGGATATCACACAACGGTGACAGATCTTCAAGGTTTCCTCCTATCACATCCTCGGGCTGCAACCTTCCAAGCCTTGTCCATTTGTAAATGCTATGTAAGTGAGGGCCAATAACCCCCCTTGAAGGCTCCCTGCAAAGCATGTAGTATAACACAGCACGAGGCAGTCTGGTGATTCCTGGATTTACGTGCTGGCCAAGTTCGCCAAGGCAATCAATCTTGAGGCTGTGGGCGGGGTATGCATGCATGCTGCCTATTTTGCCTTTATACCTAGGTAGGTAGCACAGATATTGCGGATGGTGGTGGGTTAAAAGAACGTTGAACGTTGCCCGGAACCTGGAAATGCGAAACTCAACTCCGCACTAAAACTACCTAGGTATGTAGAGATCCATATGCCGCAGCTATATGGCATTGCCATGTTCACATGCGCTCACATGCGTGGGCACAGAATCAGGAGTCACCAGGAACCACCAGGAATCACCAGGAAGCCGTTTCGTGATTCGATAACGTTATGCTCAGCTGAGCTTGTGCAAATCGAAGGTATCGACCGCCCTTCCATCTGATGTTCTGGCCATACAGTCATCCCTACTTCTCGATGAGCAGTAGTGCTGGATGATGCATGTGCAGCTTAGACCAGTTATAACTTATTGCCGTTACATACATAGTAGTACGTGCGAGCACACATCAGTTGGTCGGGCTGTGTTGCAAAAGCAAAACCTTGTTGGTGTTAATTGGTGTTACTGGTAACCGTTTATTCGCCAGGGATAGAGCGATTTGGATTTCCTCCATCCAAAATGGGATGGGCTTTTGACCAGATTGTTTCCGCACTGGCGCAAATTCTCAAGCTACATGCTATCGTTGACATAATGTGGGTGGGGCATTGCAGAACCTGTACTTCGTACTTCGTACATCAGACCGGAAATAAATGCATGCAATATAGGTCCATACTCACATGCCCAGCCGGGCAGCCTGGGCCTATACTATGTACAGGCCTATACAGGCCTAGTATTCGAATCCGGGCCTCTGCCGGGGCAGCTCTGTAGCGAAAATTTCGAAAGTCGATGAAGGTCGATGGACCCGGCGGAAGCTCAACCGCCCTACGGAGCCTGTATGTTGTATTGTAGGCACGGTAGTCACATACAATCGCTGTACGAAGTCGTTACCTAAATACATACCTACCATAGTAGAATCCCTTCCAAGCTCGCTGGTTCGCTGGTTCGCCGGTTCGTCGAGCCCGCTGAGCCAAGGCCAGGCACATGTCCGCCACTTATTAATCCCGCACTACGTATAATCATTTCGCCAGTCGCAAGGCATTTCTTCGTTTCTTCTAGTCGGTAGACCGGTTACGATAAACCTGGGC